ACTACCATATTAACAGAATAAAGGAGAAAAACCATATATCATCTTCTTATTAGAGGCAGAAAAATATTTAACAAAATTCACCACCCATTCACAATTTTATTTTATTTTGTTATTTTTTTTTTAGAGATGGGGTTTCACCATGTTGGCCAGGATGGTCTTGATCTGTTGACCTCATGATCCGCCCACCTCAGCCTCCCAAAGTGTGGGAATTACAGGCGTGAGCCACTGCACCCCGTCCAATCACAATTTAAAAACCCTTTGCAAAAGGGTTTTAAAAAAGAGAAGGGACCTTCTTCATCCTGATAGAGCACACAGTCTCTGAAAAGGCTTCAGCTAACATCATCTGTTAACGATGAATAACCGAATGCTTTCTCCTCAAATTGAAAATAAGGCAAGGATATCCGGTCCCAGGATTTCTATTAAACAGCACATTGGAAGTCCTAGCCAGTATAATAGGCAAGAAACAGGCAAAAAAACCCATACAGATTGAAAGGAAGAAAGAAAACTGTCTACAGATGACAAGATTGTGTATACAGAAACATTGAAGGAATCTATAAAAAAGGCAAATCAAAATAACAAGTGACTTTAGCGTAGGTTAATACAAAAAATATTTTCTGCATACTAGCAGTGACCAACTGGAAATTTAAATAAAATAATACCATTTAGTATATATGGTATCAAAAACAAAACCTCTGGCTGAGCATAGTGGCCAAAACAAAACAAAACAATTTTGAAAAAGAACAGCAAAGTTGGAACATTCCAAACTATCAGACTTCGAGATCGACTATAAAGCTACATTATTAAAGGATCAACATTGGGATCAATGAAACAAAATAAATGAATCTGCATATATATGCCAAATAATTTTTGACAAAGTAGCCATAGTAATTCAATAGGGGAAAGACAGTCTTTTCAACAAATGGCGCAAGTACAACTGGATATCCATATGGGAAAAAAAGAATGTTGATTATTAACTTACTCATACACAAAATTCACCTCAAATTGGATCATGTGACTAAGCTTAAAAGGTAAAACTTAAAATTTCTAAAAGAAAACACAGGAAAACATCTACATGATCTGGAGGGAGTCAAAGATTTCTTAGGTAATGGAAGACACAAAAAACCAAAAAGACACACAAAAAACAAGAGCTATAAAAGAAGATAGCAAAAAATTGGACTTTTACAAAGTTAAAGACTTCTGCTCTTCAAAAGACAATGCTAACAAAATGAAGACAAGTCACAGACTGGGAGAAAATAGTCACAAAACACGTATCTGTCAAAGGTATTGTATCTAGAATATGTGAAGGACTATTATAACTGATTAGGAAGACAACCCACCCAATTAAATTGGAGAAGATACTGAATAGGCACTTTACAAAGATATATGAACATCCCACGTGCACACGAAAATATGTCAACGTCATTAATCATCAGGGAAAAGCAAAGTAGAACCACAGTGAGCTACCACTGTATATCCATTAGAATGGTGAACATTAAAAGGATGGATATAGCAAGTACTGGTGAGAATGCGGGCCAGCTACAACTGTCATAACTTCACTGGTGGGATGTAAGATGGTACCAGTGCTTTGGAACACGGTTTGGCTTGCTTTGTTTTTTGAGATGGAGTCTTGCTCTGTTGCTTAGGCTGGAGTGCAGTGGTGCAAGCTTGGCTCACTACAACCTCCGCTTCCTGGATTCAAGTGATTCTCCTGCCTCAGCTTCCCAAGTAGCTGGGATTACAGGTGTGCCACCATACCTGGCTAATTTTTTTTTGTATTTTTAGTAAAGATGGGGTTTGGCCATGTTGGCCAGGCTGGTCTCAAACTCCTGACCTCAGGTGATCACCCACCTTGGCCTCCCAAAGTGCTGGGATTATAGGCATAAGCTACTGCACCCAGCTGCTAAAATTAAACATACACTTAGCATACAACCCAGTACTCTTACTCCTAGATGTTTACCCAAGAGAAGATGTCCACACAAAAACTTGTACATGGAAGTCCATAATGGCTTTATTTATACAGACAAAACTGGACAAAGCCTAAATGTCCATCAACATTTGTGTTATATAAACAAACTGTGGTATATACATACACTGGAAAAATACTCAGTGACAAACAGAAATGAACCACTCATTCATGCAACAACATAGATGAATCTAAGAACATTATACTGAGCAAAAGAAACCTTACACACAAGAGTGTATACACATTGTAAGATCATGTTTTTATAAGACTCTAGAAAAGACAAATCTGATCCATAGTGACAGAAAACAGATCAGGGCTTGCCTGGCACCAGGGACGAGTACCAGGGAGTTTTGGGGTGATGGAAATGTTCTAGATCTTGATTGTGGTGATGTGGTTACATGAGTACATTACTTTCTCAAAATTCATCAAACTGTGGCCAGG